GGCCTTGAACTCACAGAGATCCGCCTGCCTCTGCCTCCCAAATGCTGGGACCACACCCGGCTCTTGTTTCATTTTAAGGTTTGGGGCAAAGACTCCAACTCCCAATCCTGCCTCAGCCACCAGAGTGCTAGATAACAGGTAATGTGCCATCAAGCCCAGTTCTACTATTTTGTTCTAATTAGTGAGTATAACCTCCCTGCCTGCTAACCCCCACCCCTAAAAAAAGCATACATGCATTAAACTATAGAAAAAAATTTATTCTTTTTTGGGGGGGGCAGGGGAGGTAATGGCAGTTTGAAAGAAGGGTTCATATAGCCCAGGCTGGCCATGAACACAACTTTGTAGCCAAAGTTAACCTTGAACTCCTGATCCTCCAGCCTCTGCCTCTCAAGGGCTAGGATTATAGGCATGAGTCATCATGCCCACTCAGAAAACCAATTTTTAAAAGCCTATTGTAAATAAGTGTTGGTACTTGGGGTATATAATATGCTCAGTAAGAACACATGAATGCAAGGCACTGGGTTCAATTCCTAGCAACACATCATGAAAGCAAATAAGCCTTATTCACTAAAAACTAAGAAAACTATGCTAGCACACATCACATCTACCCTCTATTTTTCTTACTTTTATAACTTGCAGGAATAAACCATACCTAATAAAACAGTACACTGGGACTAGCCTAATGCCTCATTCATTATGGGCAGATCTTTTACAACCAAATGTAGAACCAGAATTTAATCTACTAACTTTCCCTAGGAAATGAAAAAACGTCCTAATTCGAATTTTCATTTCGTATCTTGCAGCTGAATCCCTAACACAGATTAGAATTCCGTAGGTTTGGCTTAAACCTGCTTCTCTGCAGCAGAAATGTGAAACACGTCCTGTTAGTCCGTTAGATGGTCTCCACCTTTCCCAAAACGTCCCGTCACTGCGGATTCAAACTGGAAGGGTGAAAGTTTCTTCAAATGTTACGGTTGCCCTTTTTTGCCTTTAGATTTCGCAACTGAAACTCCCAAAAATCTCAGGGGCGTGCACATCAAACCCGGAGCCAGGTTACACACAGGCGAAACTGCAGCCTTGAATGCAGGGAGGGTGACTACCGGGCTTTCTGGTAATACTTTTACACGTCTTTCGTGGAAAGCGAATGAACTTGCTATAAAGCCAATTTAGGCCAGTTCTCTTATCTCCTAACATGGATGGGAGCGCGCGGGGTGGAAGGAGGAGGAGGGGAGCACCAACTTTCCCAGAACTTGTCAGCGCCTCAAGGTCGTTACGATTAAAATAACGATTAAAATAAAACTTTCACCTCGCAGGACGCTTCAGGACCCGGAACGTTCGCTTGAAACGTAAACACAGCATCCACCATGCCGCCGATCGCCCGAGCCCGCTTCCCGGCAGTGCCCGGCGTCCAGCCCTGTGCGGGGCGGAGCACCCCCACCCCCGTCTGGACCCCCACGACCGCGGTCCCCGGGGCTGCGGCTGGGGACGACGACGCCCAACTGGAGCCCCGGGCCGCGAACTCCTGAGCCCTGCAACGCGGCCCGGCCCGGCACGAGGAAGCGCGGCGGGGTGGCGGGTGCGGCACGGAGAAGGGCCGCGGGACACCGGGGACCTCACCTGCTCCTCTCGACGCCGCCGCTGCCATTCGCTGAGGGGACAACATGGAGCCTCCGCCTTCAGCAAAGCAGCAGAAGCGCAGACGAGAGGGGCGGGCGGGGACAGCCCCGGAGGAGGGGGAAAAGGCGGGGCCTGGGCTGGAGAAGAAACTGAGGAGGAGCGCGCCAAGGGGGAGCCCACGCGAGAGCCGACAACTTGTGGGCAAGGCCCGAGGGACAGCCCCGGGCGTGGCGAGGGCGGGGAAAAAAGCACGCGGCCGAGTCCCGCCAAGGCTCGCTGCGCGTGCGCGATCGGCGCTACCTGTGACAGCGTCCTGGAATCTGCTGTCCATTGGGAATTGTAGTCCGGCGCTGCCTGGGTCCGGGCCACACCCCCACCCCCACCCCCACGCTGTCTCCGTTCTTCGCACTCATTCGGGGCGGAGAAGACGCGGAGGACAGGGCGGGGCCGAGCAGGCCCTCCGACAACTGAACTACAATTCCCAGCAGGCCGTGCGGGAAGAGGAGAGCAGGGCCTTCCAGAGACCCCCCCCCAGCTCTCCGGCGCCTAGCTTGGAGACCTGGGCCCGGCACGGGGTTCCGGCCCAGAGTTCCCTCCCGGTTGGTCTGGTGTGGCCTGGTGCTCATCGCGGGACTACAGTGGTGGGCTGGAAGGAGGCCACAGCCCAGGATGACGTGAACGTTTTGGTGATTTTGACTTCACAAGGACAGCCAGCCCCTCGTGACTTCATTAGCGCCAGTATCATCATCCCCAATTCCTGCATTCGGCCAAGTATCACGTTCACCATTACATCCTAAAACCCAAAGTAAGAACGTTTTAAGGATCGGCCTGTGTGGCACTCGCTGGTAATGCCAAAACTCAGGAGGCCAAAGCAGGAAGATCAGGAGTTCGAGGCCAGCCTGGGCTGCATAATGAATTCCTGTCTCAGGTTAAAAAAGAAAAATTAAGCGTGACCTCTGCCAGTCTTTGGCCTGTCATTCCTCAACTTTTTGTAAACGTTTGGCTTTTATAGGACTTTATTTCAAAGCTGCTTTACAAGAAAATACTTTTATTTGCACTTGACATGTGATTGTGAAAATACAAGCTATCACAACTGAAGACTACAGCTTTTTTAGTTCTTATAGAGCCTACCAGATGGAGGCTAAGGGAAGCTAAGGCGTCCACATCCTGCCTTCACCACCACTTGCCTCCCTTTGTTTCGTTTTAGATAGCAATTCCTCTTCTGCTGTCACAGCCTACCCACGACCTCCCTCCTACTTCCTCTGAACCCAGCCAAAAGCTATCTTTTACTTACTAAGTGATTAAACCAGAGGTGAAGCAGGAAAGAGAATTCTACCTTATCACTCTTAAAAATTTAAGCATTGCGGGGCGTTGTGGTACACACCTGTAGTCCCAGCACTTGGGAGGCAGAGGCAGGCAGATTTCTGACTTCGAGGCCTACCTGGTCTACATAGTGAATTCCAGGTCAGCTGGGGTTACAGGGAGACCCTGACTCAAAAAGATGAAAAAAAAAAAAAAAATTTAAGTCTCGTTTTCTCGTTTTTAGAGAAAACTACTCCTTTCTGGTCTCCCAAACTCTCAAGACTGTTTGGATATTGTCTAGGTTTTAGATTTAAACCATGACAATCTTGAGTCAGCAGCGGTGATCACCCATAGAAGCTCATGAGACTAGACCTTATTCCCCAGGGAAGGGGTGGGGCATATTCAGGAGTCTTGGGAAGCTCCTCAGAGACCCCACTCCTCCCAAGGTTATATGAGAGATGGAAGGCTGACTAGAAGGGAGGACTCATCCATTACTGCAGCTGCCCACAGGTGGCCCAGGAAACTCCACTGGAGCAGCTACCAGTCATCCAGGCCTCAGTTGAGATCCTGCATATGGATAGCGCATAATTTGCCCTGGGAACTTCCCAGTGATCTAACTGCCTTTGACTCACCTGTGCACACATAGCAGTCCCAGTAAACTCACTGGTTCACCAAGCTGGATTAGGTGGAATTTTTTTCTATGGTTTGATGGTGTGCTCATTCTCCTCCACACCCCACTTCCCTCTCTGATGAATAGGCCTTTCTTTCCATCCCCCAAAGAAACAGTCACACAACATAGGCCAACTTGAGCCAGCAAGAAACTAGAAGTGAGCATCAGGACAAGACATGAATTCAGAAGACAGTACCTACAAGGTATGACCCAGTTTCATCATGTGGCATGCTCAGAAAGAAAGGGTGAGAAGTCAATGACTTGGCATAATTGCGAACTGATTGTGTAAATACTTAAAATCTCCCATATATCCTAACTTTCCCCTTTCCTGAAAAATATTTCTTTCTTTTTCTTTTTTTTTTTTTTGGTCTTTTTGAGACAGGGTATGCCTGCTGGCCTGAAACTCACTATGTAGACCAGGCTGATCTTGATCTTCCCTCTGCCTCCCAAATGCTGGGATTAAAGGCATGCACCACCACACCCAGCCCTCCTTTTTTATTTTTTAAGATTAATTGGGGGGCTGGAGAAATAGCTTAGCAGTTAAGAGCACTGGCTGCCTGCCCTTGCAGAAGACCCAGGTTGGGTTCCCAAGACCCATGTGTTGGCTAACGACCCTCTGTAACTCCAGTTCCAGAGGATGTAATGCCCTCTTGTGACCTCTGTAGTCATAGCAAACTCCTAATGCACTTACATACAGGTAAAATGCACACTAAAAGAATTAAAATAATTTTTTTTAATTTATTTAGGCCCGTGTGGTGGCATACACCTTTAATCCCAGCACATAGAGGGCAGAAGTAGGCGGTTCTCTGTGATATTGAAGCCAGCTTAGGCTGTATATCAAGTTGTAGGCTAGCTGGGACTACAGGGAGACCATGTCTCTAAAAACGAAAAATTATAGTCATCGGGGCTGGAGAGATGGCTCAGGAGTTAAGAACACTGACTGTTCTTGCAGAACACCTGGGTTGAATCCCAGCACCCACATGGCAGCTAACAACTGTCCATAACTCCAGTTCCAGGGGATCTGACAGCCTCTTCTGTCCTCCACGGACATTGCATGACGCAAGTGCACTTACCTACATGCAGGCAATACACACATACACATAAAATAAAAATAATAAAAAAAATTTTTTAAAGAATTATTTAATTTCCAGGCTGGAAAGATGGCTCAGTGGCTAAGAGCACTGACTGCTGTTCCAGAGGACCCAGGCTCTGTTCCCAACACCCACACAATGGCTAACAGCCTTGTGTAACTCCAGTTCCAGGAATCAGACACCTTCTGGCCTCCACAGGCATTGCACAACACAGGCAAAACATGCTAAACACTGACACATAAAAATAATAAATAAAAATGTTTTGGGCCGGGTGTGGTGGTGCACCACTATTAATCCCAGCACTCGAGAGGCAGGAGGATCTCTGTGAGTGCAAGGCCAGCCTGGTCTACATAGTGAGTTCCAGGACAGCTGGGGCTACAGGGAGACCCTGTCTCAAAAAAAATCCAAAAAAAAATGTTTTAAGTTATTTAATTTCAGTTATGTATATGTATCTGTATGTGGGTATGTGCACATGAGTGCAGGTGCCCATGGAGACCAGAGGCATCAGATGCCCTGGGGCCAGAGTGCTGGGAACCAAACGACTCTTCGGCAAAAGCATCAGGCACTCTGAACCTCGGAGCCATCTTTCCAGCCCCTCTAACTTTTTGAGAGGTAGGCTGTCTCATGTTTCTGGCACTGCACTTTATGTACAGGCTTCCTGCAGACTGTCCTGTCCCCAGCTCCTATCTTGCTATAGAAGTGCTGGGATTACAGACTCCTGCCACTATATCCAGCTTTTTTTTGAAGGTGAGTTCTGGGGATCAAACCCAGGTAACCAGTCTGGACAACAAGCATTTTTAGATGCTGAGTCACCTCTCCACCCCTGAACTGCATTTTCCTATCAGTCATCTTACGGTCAGATTCATGGTTTGCATTCCATTTTATCTCTCCCCACATATTGCAAATTCCAAATGGAGAATTTTTGTCTGTTTGGAACAAAATATCTATAGCCTCCATGCCTCAAACACTGCCACCAGGTAGCAAGTAGACATTGAAATGGTTGCATTAATAAAGAAGGTGTGTGTTACACTTAACTGCTCACTCAGTTTCTGGTTCCTTTAATGTTACATACCTAACTTTTGCTATGAAACAAAATACACTGTTCGATTTTAACAACTCCCAATGACAGTTACTGAAATCCATCCTGTGAGGACGTGACTAGCAAGTACTGGCATTAGATCTGCCCCAAATACAGCATCATCAAGGTCATTGTCAGCACATTGGTGTTCATCATACTTTGAAGAAGGTTTTGGCATTTGACACAACACAGCACAAACGTCAGGTAGGTTTTAGGACTGCTCATGGCTTGGAACGCAATCCCTGTCAAGGAAAAGCATGTCCTTGCACATCCAAGGTCATCAAAACAGCAGAAGTTCAAAATACTAAACATTGACACAGCCTGCCGCTGGGCTTCTCACATTAAACCGAGTCACATGGCATGAAAGCTTAAGCTTTCCTTGTGGTTTTCTAGAAGGTGTCAGACACTTTTGAGTGATTCAGGCCACTGGATTGGAGGCCAGAATGATTGACATTAAATCTTGTCTCTGATGCTCACTAGCCATGCAAAATTGGGTGAGTAAATCAACCTCACTGAGCCTGTTTCATCAGCTACAAAATAATCATAATACCCACAGAGTTTTAGGTTAAATGAGAAGTGTTTGCCACTGATGACTGATAATATCGTTAGTCCTCAAATACTGGTGATCATATTCATCCTAAAAAAGCAAAACAAAGTCATCAAGATAATCATGTATTTTATGAAGCATAAAGACAGCAAAATTGTTTTCTTCAATGAGCACTGTAACTCAGTTTCCAAAGCTTCCCCAAAATAGGACATTTGTTGTGTTTCAAGCACTGTGCTAGGCAGTAATGCTGCACAGGACACATTCCTGTCTTCCAAAGACTCCTAGACTTGTAGGGTAAACAGCCAAGAAGTGTCATTCCCTGTGACACAGTTTGACCTCTTAGCACCCACTTACAGGATCAGTTTGAACAAGATAGACTTCCATCCCTGGAAACCACTTAAATACCCACTGAGAGGGGGCTGCTGGGTGAAGCTTAATGCA